CCCCCCCCAAAAAAGCATTGCCTCTTACGTCGCCTAACGAATCATCCCTGTGGGCTCTACATTTCTATTAGCGATCTTTGGCAAGCCTCTTCTCGTATTATTCTTGCAGGACCATGTCCGTACAATACTTATGCCAGCTAGAACTCTAGACTGGAATAGCAAGAGAGCAAAGGTCTGTCTGTATCATAGTGGGACTCGATCTGATGCTCTCTCAAAAAAAGTGTTTCGCATAACCCGAACACGAACATAGCCTGCTGTGATCCCCCCACGACTCTAGCTACAGGCGTATTGCCTTGCTGTGGAAACTCTTGGGTTGATTCCAGAGCTTTCTGAAGAAAAATACGGACTAGCTGATCGGAATGGGATGAAATTTTTCTTAAGTCGACTAGTCCCTTAGCTTTGTGATAGTCGTCGAATATTCATCATCGAATCAGGTTTATTGTTCTTCTGTCCAATGTTACTGTCCTTGATGGGAATAGTTTTCTCCTCTACTCTCTTCTAGTAGGTAGATTTTTCGAACGTGATCGTGAAAATTTGTTGGGGCGTACCAAAACAGTGTCGGGCCTTTCCACTCTATGCCAGTACAGTTCAAAAACGTACCTAGACATATAATTTTTTTCTAGCCGCAAACCAAGAAGGCGCTTGCCACCAAGATCGTGAATTTTCTTCCTATTAGCGGCGAACTAAAGCTTTATCTCCCCAGGTGCTCTTACCTCGGTCGGGATAGAACATGCAAAATCACAAGAGATACCATCTTCCGAAAACCTATATAAGGTCCTCACCCTCTCCGTCTCCGTCTCTTCTTCATTCTTCATCATTCACATCAACTTCGATCTGCTACAAGAAACCATCTTCTCCAATATACACAGATCCAAGTCTATCTCCAACCAGCTTCTTTATATATCTCATTGCCGACATATCAATCCCAACCAGCAAAGATATCTCTCGGTCAATCGCCTAGCATCGTCTATCTCCAACAACCTACGCCTACATCCACCCACATCAACTTCAAGATGTCCGCCGCCGAGATCAACCACCGGCGCAACAACGCCGAGTCTGCGGCTGCGACTGACTTCTCGAGACACCAAAGAGAAGCCGTCGATTCAAAGCTCTACTACATGCGCGACGTCACCAGCCCGGCCGAATTCGAAGCCCTAGTCGACGAAGAGCTGCGACGCGCCAACGCCACTCCTAGCATCTCGGGAGCCGAGAAAACCCTTTGTCGTTTCGCCGGAAAGCTCAAGGCCAAATTGAGATTCACCCGGCTTAGCGGCTAGGCTAAGCGGGCTTCGACATGAACGATTAGACATGACCGACAAGTCGAAGTCAGTTCGAAAATTAGGCGAAAAGCTGCAACCGTCGGCGCCTCGAGGCTGTCAGGATATCATATCACGGTTGAAGGAAACGGCAACTACTATCGGGTCTCGTGTTACCTTATTGGCACCTGGTCAGCCTCTAGTAAATGATACCACTTCATCACTTCATCACTTTTGCACTGAACTCGTGACTCGTTGACTTCCCTCGTGATATCTATAATATTTTTTCTTATAAAAGAGTATAACAGTAATCATATGATATTCTTAGGTGCTCCTAAATCAAGCCTAGTTGTCATCTCAATCTTCCGTTTTGATTATCGTCATCAAACAAGATTCACCTCTACATCTTCTATCGTTTAGCCGGCTATCTATGCTGGTTGGAAGTATAGCATACATGTATCAGCTTTTCTTTAGAGCGTTGATGAGTCGTGGCTGCTCTCTATCCATTCGGTTTTGCAGCAGTCTATCTATATGGAAAAGGGGAGGAAATGATCAATAACTTAAGCATGATCGGCCCTTTCCCCTTGAGGCTTATTTCCAGAATACAGCACTTGCAAGCTACCCGACCTGAACTCCCGCGAGTGCTCGCTAGAGTGGCCAGTAGAATTGTGAGAAAGGGCGCCAGCCGCTTTGATGCGGACGAAACCTGTTCCACCTCTTTACTTCTCACCTCGTAAAGAGACGCTGGTCGCTCCTGTTGCCTATCTTGCTTTTCTTTTCAATTACATGTAAATCTTCTGTTATCAAAAGGCATCTGCGAATGCTATCTGATATTGGTCTTGCTATCTTTTATTAACGAGGTCTGATCCCTGGCGGCCCTCCGCAAGCTCCGGGGCCAGGCGACCTCGCTTCGCTCCGGTCGTTGTGCAGGGCTGCCTTCCGCATTAACGCTACATCAATGTTGTAGAAGAAATACGCTTTAAAAGGATGTCAAAGAAACGTAACGCTTCAGCCCGGCCGCAAGCTCAAACTTTTCCGCAAGCTCCGGATTAGGCTTTCCTGACTTTGCGATGTAATATTCGTAGCTATAATCTTTAGCAATAGCCCCTTTTAAGCCGATACAGCCAGCCACTCGAACTTCGAGTATTCAATCTATAGCAATAGCCTTCGTTAGCTGGTTGCAGCCAGCTATTTTTCGAGCATCTAATCTATAGCCATAGGCCCTTTTAGCTCGGTGCAACTAGCTTTTCCTCGAGCATTCAATCTATCGCAATAGCTCTTTTCAGCTCGGGGCAGCTAACTATTCCTCGAGCATTTGATCTATAGCAATAGACCCTTCCAGCCCCTTCTAGCGCGATGTAGCCAGCTATTCCTCAACCATCCAGGTCCTCAGTGCGGACGCACTCCCTGGTATCCACATAGTCGAGAGTGCCGAAAAAAAAGCCACTCTTCAAGCGTTCCGGAGCTCGGGGGTAGGAAGGGATGCCAAGGTGTTGCTGGCCTCGGAGTGGGATTTGGACTGCAAGTATATACTAATGATATAGACTATACTAGTGATCCACGCAGCTCTGTAGATATCTACTCCGTACTCCGTATAATGTATATCCCCCTCTCTTTCCAGCTCGCCCGCTCTGTGGCGTCGAGAATGACGTTGGGCGGGCCGGTTGCTGGGGTGCGGTGCGGTGCGATTCGAGTGAGGAAATTAGTCGACGAGGGAGGTCGTTGAGATGGGAAGTTGAAGGTGGAAGGATGGTGGTCGAGCAATAGGTCTTTCTAGCTCGATACAGCCAGCTGTTTCTTGAGCATTCTTATCATTATTTATTAATTAACTAATATTGAAGTATTCGAAAAGAAAACGTACAGAATTCGAGGGGGAAAAAAATCTATAATCGTAATTTTCAATTGCAAAAGGTGGCTGCGAAAAGTAGTTCTACGCAATTCTAGCTTGCAAATTAAGCTTGTAAGATTCCTTCTCATATTATTAAGCGCTTAATCAAGTTTTAATATTCTTCGATGGCCAGAGATCAGATGGATGCACCCAATCAACGTATTCCCCTTAAGTCAGGTGACCGTATTTTAAACAGTTTACGGTCTTAGCCATACCTTAAAGGCAGGTATAAGGTTATTTGAACCGTCAGCTAACAATCTGATCACGGTCTCTCTTAAAGACGGTCCTAAAAGGTTGGCATAGTTAGTAGATCGATCACCTTAGGCCGATACTTGAGATTAAATAGAATCTGAAAACAAACCATTTAAATCATTTAAATCGCAGCTAAAATGAATCTATTTTAATCAGTTCAACCGTCTTTTATAAAAGCCCGTCTCTCTGTCAAAAGACCGTCCTCGATCGTTCTAAGACCGAATTAAGACCGTCTTATAGCCGTCCTAAAGCCGTCCTCGAACTTCAAATCGTCCTCGAGAACTTGGATTAATAAGCAAATGTTTTAGCCCTTACCCTCTGCCTTATCTCTTCCTTTACCATCCCCACTTCCTTTGAGCTACCGCCGTCGCTAATGTGCGTAATAATCAGCGGGAATCAGGAAACCTTCTGTTAAATCAATCGATTCCGATACTAAATCTTTTAAGGCGTTGATATATAAGCTATAATAGCGATACCGAGAAATATCTTAGCAACGATTTTAACTATTAGAAGAAGGATTGTTATATTTTAATTGTATCTCATTAAGAATGAGCTTTATTCTATCTTAAATATTTAAAATAAATTCTTTTATAAACGTGTTTTAAAAATTTCCACGATAACGGCTATAGGGCGGCTGTAGGGCGGCTATAGGGCGGCTATTAGACGGCCCAAAGCTCGAGGACGGTCGAAAAAGTGAACTATTCTTGATTTGGAACTAGTATTGATTTCAAACGGTCCAATGACCGTCTTTTGTAAAAGCAGATCAGAGGATCGCTGATATGACCCCCTACCTGCCTTTGAAGTAGATCCACATTCAGCTCAACATAATGTAGACTGGCTCAACAGAATACAGATTACTAAATCCGAGTGCTCTGTTCTTTTCTCGTCAACATCTGAATTATTGCTTTTAGAACTTCACAATGGACCCATCTTGCAACGAGTGTATCAAGGTATGTATCTCTATCGACCAAGCTGCTTCTAATAAACGAAAACTTCGCTTACGATCCGTTCCAGGGCAGCATTCATGCTGGCCTTCCTCAAGGCAAAGAAGAAATGATCCACGGTCTCAACACCTACGTGATCGGCAATCGCACCGATCCGAAGGCCATCATCGTCATCTACAGTGACATCTTTGGCCTCGCTCTCCCCAACAACAAGCTCAACGCCGACGCCTACGCCAAAAGCGGAGAGTACCTCGTCTACCTCCCCGACTTTTTCAAGGGCGACCCTGTACCGCTCAAGGTTGCGGACCTTCTCATCCCAGTGGACGGAACCAAAATGGGGTCGCTCACCAAATATACGGGACTGCTTGCTAGTGCCCCCTCCTTTGCATTGTGGTTCATGAGGCACAAGCAGGGTCCAAGCGACAAGCTCTGCATGGACTTCCTAGAGTCCTTGAGACGGGCTACGCCCAAGAGCCAGAAGATCGGAATGGTGGGACAGTGCTGGGGTGGGAAATATGCTATCAGAGCAGCTCTAGAGAGCAAGATGGTTGACATTGATGGCGCCAAGACGCCACTCATTGATGCAGCAGTCGCTCTGCATCCCAGCAACCTGGTGCTCCCGGAAGATGTCGAGTTTCCTGTTGTACCTGTGAGTATCGGATGGGGAGTGCAGGACATCGGTGTCAGCTATAAATTGAAGGGTCAGATTGAGGACATCCACGCGAAAGCTAGGGAGGCCGGGAAGAAGCTGCCCGAGCTCCAACACAAGTCCTACACCCCGGGACGGCATGGCTTTTCTGTCAGAGGCAATTTGGACGATCCTCAGGAGAAGAAGGCTCTGGAGGACTCTTATGAGCAGGTCTTGGCCTGGTTCAAGACTTGGCTCTGATATTCTCATGGCTTGTTGTGGAGTTTGGATCGGCACTGTTCATGGAGCTGGCCCTTTTGGTGTATACGATGGTTACGTTTAGGATATTGTCGATTCATACTTTCATGACCGCATCTCAGCTGGGCAGGGGACATGTACATACGAGGGCAGGAATACGGTGGCCTCTGTTCCGTGGTGCTACATTGACTAGCTTACAGTATAGAGCTCATTCCTTGATTTACCCTATGGCCGAGGCGGTTTTGGAAAGCCAGCGACGGTTATTATCTTTGTTGCCATCTGCGCATGTCATGTCTAACCTTCCTTCTTTTATCCAGGGCCCCGTGATACATTCCTGCTGCCGCTATCAACAAGCCGTCCCTCAGCTCCTCGCGCTGTTTCTCGCCCGTGTAACCACCCTCCTTCAGTCATGAGCGAGACGAGTCTTTGCCCTTCATATGACACGAAACGGTTCCCTGCGGGGAAATAAAATAAACACAAGTATAAAAGTCACTGGAATATCCCGCTCTACCACTCACTCCTTTCCCATTCAACAACCTTGACCCGTCTCAAGTATCATCATCAGCCAAGACGATAAAAATGAAGTTCAGCAGCTCTACCAGTGCCGCCGTGTTGGGCATTCTGATAACCAGCTGCCATGCCCAAGTCAAACTCCTCGCCACCATTCCCGAACTCGCAGCCTACTGCAGTACCGTTGGCCCCAACACTGTCAGTCATCTCCCTGCCTGCTTAAACCTCCCTCTCTCTTTCTCTCTCTCTTTTCGAGAGCATGCGCTAATCCCACCGCCAAACCAACACATAGTATGTCGCAGTGCGCTACGAAAACACCAGCAACATCGTGACATATGATTTCAACGAGTGCTACCCGTACGAGCTCCCGACCGGTGGACTGGCCCAGGTTGCCGTCTTCTGCAAGACGACGACGTGCACCAACAAGCCGTGAGTAATTACTACCTTCTTCAGCTACCCCCGCCACCTCCACCACCAGAACCGACGAGTGCCAAATTCGAGACGCGTTCTGACGAAGTACTGCTGAATTTTGGGGGGCGCACAGGAACCCCGACTGCTCTGGTGGCGCGGTGCCGCCGGTTCCGGTCCCCATCCCGGCCGGAACGGTTCTGCCGAATGTGGTAGATTTCGTACAGCTGCTCGGGCAGGGGGCGACGTGTCAGCGTAATGGGCTGTCGTCGTAAGAATTTCTGAATCGGTGATCTGGGGGCGGTGATTGACCTGCCAGCAGTCGAAAATGAGAAGACCGAGTCGAGCCATCCAAGGAGTCATGAGCACCTCTCTCGCTTAAATAACGGCATCCCATATGCTGTGTTCCTCCGACGATAGATAGATATGTAGCCTTGTTGACTGTCGCAATGCTTCTGCTTGCAAGCCGTATGCTATGTTCGTGAGAATTGGATCCAAGTGTCTTCTTTGTAACCCCTTTCGAGGCTCTCGGAGTATTCTCTCTTCCTGGCCGCTCCGCTGCAAGGAGCTGTGCACTGCACTCGCCAGTAATCCAGGAAGTGCACTAACATACCGACCGATTTCCATCCCGAGACTTGTCATGCCAATCATCCTTCTTAAGCAGAGTCTGTCCTCAACCACACTTCGACATCATCACTTAGCAGTGTTGTCCTCGGGTCTCGGCTATGCTGCTGCTGGTGATCTCGAGTACGTACGAGCGAGCTGGGCTACATATATAAATATATATAGCTTTTCCTCCTCCTCTAATCGACTAAAGCCCCATTATCCATAACTAAAACTAGGAACGAGAAGGAGAACGAGACAGACGCACATATACATGTACATATATATAAGCGGCAGCCAGGCTATGCTCCCGGAAAGTGGCGGTATTGTAGGTGAAGCGAACAATACCCTCCGGTCCAAGTCTAATTACCTTACGTATCACGGAGTCGAGATCATCAAACGGGAGGGAGAAAAAAAAAAAAAAAAAAAAAAAAAAGAAGGCCTCATTGTCGGTCTAGCAACAGGAATCACACACACTAGAAGAAGAAGAAAGGATAGTAAGGAACCCACATGAGGACTTATTTTGTTTTTTGTGGTAGAAATTACTGACGAAAAGACCGATACCTGGTAAGCCAGGCCCCTGCCTGAAAATTTATGGATCTATGAAGTCTTCAGGTTGCCCGCTCCAGAGCTTTCAATGGCACGTCCAGCCAACATCGTATCCAGAAAGAAGGCGATCGAAACAGACTCACCTTCTTCTCGAGAGAGTGACCCAGTTCCGCTAGCTCCTCGTTCTCAAAGAATGGCTTGCAAACACTTGAAGAAGTAATGTTCCTGTGCCTAGTAAAAATCTCCGGCGTCACGAGAATGGCATGAGCCTATTCATGCACCAGTGTGCCGGCGAATTGAAATTGGATAAGTTTCCTGTTGCAGTTTATAGCATTGCTGGCTGAGACTGTGGAGCGGATTCGGACTTGCTCTTCTGCTTCAGTCAAATCCTTTCGTGGCAAAGGTTGTAAGCTCTCGATCCCTATACTAATATCAACAGTCCCCGTGTTCCGGTCTCGCAATGTACAACCATGCATGGGCGCCTCTTCCCCATTCTAAGCAGATGCGATTAGCACTTGATAATGTCAATTGGGCCATTCATGATGAAGGCGGCAGAACTCTAGAAAGGCCCCAAAGGGAGGTTCAGCGTACACGTACCGGTAGTCCACTCGCTACACAATTCGTGAAGGTTGGCATGGAGCGTGAATTTCATACATTCAGCCAACGAAGAGAGCTTCGTCATCAAAGCGAGGTCTTGTCCGGGAGCATTGCGTTCTTCGAAACCACGCTCGGAGAAGCTCGGTACGTATGGCCCTTTGGGGTCCGGATCGATGATCTCGGCATATGTTCGAAATAGCAGCGCATCATATCTAGCCAGCATCAGCATGATTCGGAATCGCCTCAAGAGTAGTAATACCATGCCTTTGTTCTCTGACTGACCAATATCTGAGATTGCTAGCTTGAGACCTGGCCTGAGCTTACTCTCTACGAAAGGGTTATCCATCTTAGGTAGCATGTCAGCCCTACTTTTAAAAATTCACCAATAAAACCATCATACCGTCCAGAAGACATCATGGTCTCCCAACAGAGGGATTGCTCCTAGATGTTTTGCGTCGAGTCATAGGTGTGCCACCTGATCGGGTTAAAAGCAGGATGGATCATATCCGTCAAGCCATCTCTCCTAGAGTCTCGATCAAAGTATGCCAGAACTTCCATATCTTTCAGCTGTGAGGTCTGATGGTTACGAAGAGTCAGCAAATTAATGTTCCAAGATGCTTCAAGAATAATATAAGATAAGTTCCTAGGGATCTTAGGACAATTTATATAGGGAAAGATTGGTCGTCCACATCGCCTACTATAAAATCTTTAAAATTAGACCGTTGATACATCTCGACAACTTTGATATTTGAAATTGTTTGTTTTGACTGTTCCACAGTTCGATTCAAGTTGGGAATTAGTAGTGAGTAAGGAAATGGCAGCGGTGTCATGCCACTTTTTCCATTTTTCAGGAACCCATCATGTGGAGGTATGTTGGGTCCGATAGGGTAGCTGCAGTATATATATCAGTATGCACCACGTCAGAAGTTCGCAGCTATCTACTCCGAGTGCAGAAGTTGAACAAAGAGGATGTGATGAATGATCATGAAGGGTACTTACATTGCCTCTGTACCCTATTGCTTCAATTATTGCTTCAATTACGGGCTTGCCAGCAGGTATATTTTTGGCGCAAATACTCGAGCTGGTGTAGAGAGGGAAGGCGGTAGCTAGCTCCCTTCTTAAGCGAGTAAGGAAAGGGGGGAGCTGAACAACAAAAAAGAAAGAAAAAATTGCAAAACTCAACTGGAAGCTCATATACTATAATGAGGTTCCAGTTTACAAACCTAATTGAATAGGTTTTTCGGCATCTACGATTCTACATCAAACTGGCGGAACATGAAACGGATTCAGAGCGACTACACGCCACTGAGCCACCGCATCTTCTCGCCAGTTTGATGGAAGACCGCACAGAATTTGTTTCTATCAAGTAGAAAAAAATCTTCTGCGCGGGAAAGCTCGGGGCGGTGAGACATCCGCAACTGAATTGAATAGGAAATGGGTATATCAACAAGCTCGGATCAACATCGAAAATAAAATTCCATTACATTATAAACGCATTCCAAGAACGAAACTGTCAAGGCTTCTGTCTGTTTTGCCCATTATTCATCCTCGTCGTCCATCTCTCGCGACAACCAGCGCGGGATGTAAAAACCAAACCGAAAGGCGAATGAATCGGCATCCTGCTTTCCCCCTAATGTTTGCTCTCCTTATCCCAAAGCTTCCTCACAGCACCCGCAACCGAGAAGCCCCCAAACAGCCAGTCATCGCCGTGTCTCCCGCACTCAGTATAGACGTTGACCTTGGACGGATCGTGCGAACTATGCCGCCGGCTCGGCTTCAGCTTCGGCTCCCCTGATCCTGACCGCCTCGGATTCGTGGCAACGCCGGAGTTCAGACTCTCCTCCGCATGTCGACCAGCACAGCGTGGCCCGGTGGCAGGCATGAACTCGGATGAGGCGGTCGAGGAAGTTGATGTTTCGCTGGCTCTTCGGTGCGGAAATGGGGGCAGGGCTGGGGAGCGTTGGCCGCTTGATTGGGCTGCGCTGTCTCGTCCTGGTGTTCTCGAAGGCGAGATGGAGAGCGGATCTGGACGGTACATGGCTGGCCGTGTAGCGAGATCTGGAGGAGATCTTGGGGTGTAAAGCTGGCTGTTTGTTGTCGATGGAGGTAGATGTTTGTGGTTTGTTGTTTGCTGGGAAAAAGTGCTGAGGACGTTGGGAGGTATTCTGAATGTATGATAGATAGGCCGAATCAGTATCAAATGTCGACTTGATAAAGTCCTGGCTTTCTATTATTCGCAGAACGATATTTTCCTTGAAGTCTCGTTGTTAAGGCCAAAAAACAGAGAAGATAACGATGTTATGAGGCCATCCGAGAGAAATTTCCTGGATGCCTGCTGCCTGTTGCTGCAGTGTGGATGTTTGATGTTCGACAGTAAGTAGTATCACAGCATAGGGCTGACGAACATCACTCCATGCGCACCTGATCCCGAATCGCAGCCAACGGGTTTCGTTGGTGGGCACTTCGTCCAATGGGTATTCTGCTCTGCATTGGAAATATGCACGATACACTCTCAATCCAAGGTATCGGGCTCAAGGCTTCCTACTCGGTCAGCGTTGTGAGCCAGTTGGACTCAAGAAATACAGTATGCATACATACTGGATGCGAGGATCCGCTGTACAAATCCAACTATATCGGAACTTTTAATGCTCCTACGCATCATGGGAAATAGAAAGTAAATCCCAATTTATTGATAACACCTTGTATTGAAAATCATCGCTTCCTTATCCTTGGCCTACCGAACATATATATACTTGTCAACCAAGACTCCTCCCTACAGATCCACGATACCAATCCCCTCGGCGGAAGCCTACAGCCAACGATTGAACATCTTGATATACATAGTCTTAAAGAGTTGCGTCACCATCGCGTACAACAACAAGAGGGCGGCCAGGATACCCAAAAAGCTTCCATCCGGAGGGACCAGCCCAAGGGCATTGTTGAGCTTGGGAATATACGGGATGATGAAACCGATTACAGAGACCAGCAAAGTGCTAACAACCAGTGGCCGTGATGGGTGAGCTTGGAGAAAGGGGATTCTGGCGGTGCGAGTCACGTAGACAACCAGAATCTGGCTCAGCAGGCCCAGGACGAACCAGTTGCACTGGAATTTTTGTATCTGGGAGTGGTCGCTAGAAGGTCCAAGGCCATAGTAGTAGGTGTTGAGGAGGAATGTGGCGATATCGACGGTGCTCGTGACTGTACCAAGAATTAGTCTTTTATTAAATCGAATATCCCCAGATTTTGTGGGAGCTTTCGAAGATCAAGGTAAAATCTCTAGAAAGAGATTTTACTTACTAGGACCGATCAAAAAAACGAATCTAGATAGGTCCCCGATAGACAGTGGACGAGGTATAGCAAGATACTCATGATCTACATCATCGAAGGGTATAGCGATTTGTCCTAAGTCGTAGAGTAGATTTTGGAGAACCATCTGTGTAGGCGAGATCGGGTCGAATGGAAACCAAGCTGAAGCGGCAACCACCGAGATTATGTTACCAAAGTTGGCAACTAGGATGAGCTTGAGGTATTTCATTCTATGCTTGATTAGTCCCAGTTCTCGAAATTCAAATATCGAAAACTGACATATTTCCATGCGTGGTTCTCCCAACCATGACAGAATCAATGATCGTAGAAAGCCGTTTCTCTTGCAAGATGATATCGGCACTTTGCTTGGCGACAGCTTGTCCCGAATGGACCGAAATCCCTACATCGGCACGACTTAGAGCGATAGAATCATTGATTCCGTCTCCGACCATTCCGACAACCTCCCCCTGAGCCTGCAGCGCTTCGACGACATTTCCCTTCTGTGCAGGGGTAAGCTTTGCAAATATCTTACACCGTTTGATGGTGCTATTCCACTCTTTGGGGTCTGTTATCTCCGCCAGTCTTGGACCACAGATCGCGGAGGGCTCATCTTCAAGCTCTTGACCGATATCAAGGCTTCGGGCTATACTGATGGCGACTTTCAAATTGTCTCCAGTGAGGATTCTGACATCGATGCCAAGGTTCTGTAGGCGCAGAACAGAATCTTTGGCGTCATCCTTCAAAGGCTACAATTATGTCAACAGTCTATTGAGGGATAATCGGAGAGGGCATCTTACATCGAGGAATGTGAGAAGGCCTTCCACTACCATATCCTTGTCAAGGCCACCTAAGTCACCGTCGGTGTCAACTTCTGCCTCGGAGAGGTCCTTTGAAGCAATCAAAATGACTCGGAAGGCCTGCGCATTGAGAGCGTCAACTTTAGCAAACAGACTGCGGCGGTTTTGCTCATTGAGTGTCTCAATCCCAGTTCTAAATCGAACCCCCGAGCACAAAGCAAGGACTTCCTCGTAAGCACCTTTGCAGATAAGCTTCAAACCACCCATGTATGTTCGAACGATGCAGCTTGATCGTCTCGCTTCGAAAGTAAAAGGAATCTCGCCAATTTTGGTAGCCATCTCAACACCCTTTTCATCAACACCACTGTTATCGAGGATTGCAGAATCAATGGCATTCTTTGTGCCACTTTGGTAAAAGGCGTTGGTGTGTGCTAAGCCAAAGACCTGTGTGCTCTCTTGACCCGAGGGATCCAAGGATTGCGAGAGTTCAATATCCTCTTTTGTCAATGTACCAGTCTGTCGCCACTGTCAAAAATTCATCCCCTGAAAGAGGGTTAGGATTCTTACCTTGTCGCTACATAGTATTGTCATAGAACCTAAACTTTGGATAGTTTCCATGTGACGGACAATCACAGTCTTCTTGGATAGAATATGCTTTCCCCGGTAAAGGTTTGCGGTGACCATTGCAGGAAGCATCTCCGGTACAAGCGTTGCTGCCGTGCTGAGAGCAAACATAACGGACTTTTTCCAGTGGCCAGTATTACATCCTTTAATAACAAGAACCTGGAATACTAGTCAGTTGTCGAATTATCGATACTTCAGCCACGGGAATTGACATACAATAGTAAACGAGATAAGCATGAACCCAATCATCATGAAGACAATCTTATTCATGCTCTTTTGAAACGAATTTTGAGCTCGTCGACTATTGAGCTCCTGGGCCATAGCGGAAATGTAAGTGTCTTGTCGCCGATTAGCACCCCCCCTATAGAAATCGGCTATGAAGTGACCTCTTACTCTTGCCCGTAGTGAAAGCAACAGCCAGTCCACTTCCTGATATGACTTTCGACCCAGAAAATAGCACGTTTGGCAGATCGAAAACATTAGGATGATGGCCACTCAGATCACCACAGCAGTCATCTTTAGGCTGCGGCTGACTTTCCCCAGTGAGGCTGCACAGATCAGCAACTACCACCGTAATTGTCCTGGAGTCACTGACCTTGATTGCGAGACGCACAGGTTTAAAGACTTCAGAACTTTGCAATCCGCGGGCACGACATCGCCAGCACTGAGGATCAACACGTCTCCGGGAACCAACTTCCGAGGGTCTATGAGCCTCTCTTTTGGCTCGGCCTCCACAGACTGCCGCCGAACATTGACAGGTGCCACTTCTTCTGGTATGGTTTGAGCCGCCTTTACGCTTCTGTACTCCTGAAAAAAGTTTATGCTTGCAGCCAGCGGTACCACAATCAAGATGATTACGAAAAGTGTCCAATCAGGATCTTGAAAGACTACCGATATTATTGCGAGGAAAATCAGCAAAGCGTTGTAGCTGTTCAAAATACTCTCGGACGCCAGTTGTTTCCATCCGGGGACCGAAGCTTCCAGAGTGGAATTCTCGCCGTTCGTCTCGAGCCGTCTCAGTGCGTCTGCATCAAGGAGCCCGGAGACGGAAGAATCAAGTTTCGTAAGGACATCTAGGCGGGCACATGATTGGATATTTTCCTCACAGGTGCTTCTTTTCGTTGGAGAAGCTGGATTCATCCATCAAATCAGCAGTTGAAGTGACTGCAGCACAGATCACATACCTATTCCCCTGCCTAGAATGGTCCAACGAATATTTTGCAACATTCTCATGTTGTAAAGTCTCCTTGATTTCAAATTTCACACATTTTGATTATACTCTGTCGTATCATGGAGGGAAGAGTAGTCGAGGCAGCACCTGAACTAGTCATAAGAAGATTGAAGGAGCCAGATTTGAGAGGTACGAGCAAGCTCTTTAAATAAAGAGAACTTTGGAGGGACGAGGATGGCTTCTCAGAAAAGTGCAGAGTGGGTAATGTCTAAGGCAAAAGTTCCAAAGCCGGTCCAGAATTAGAGAGGGACTTTATGTCATTCGGTGATGCGATGATTGTTTCCCCTAAGGCTAGCTAGACCCGACTAGCCAACAACCAAGGCAAAGTAGTGGGAAAGAGCCACTTACTTTTAGCTTTTGTAACGTAAAATGACACAAGTGAAAATGAAATGGTGGTCGCTTCTCGACTACTTCCGTGTGACCATGATCAATAATGGGTTGTATTTTCGTGAGCAAGACTTTGGCCACATACTGATTACAGCGAACTCCCGGACACGCGTCTTGTGAAATCACAACTCGAGTGACAAGAGCCAGCCCATTGCTCGAGTAAGATATAAGATGATGGGGTTCTTTGATGACATGGGACAAGACGGACACAAAAATAGCTTGAAAAACTGGCTCTGGGAGTAGACTCAAGTTCATGGCCTTGACGGCCTCAAAATAAAAACATGACACCCAGTCACGTTACTGGGATTTGGAGTCTGAATACGCTAGATTGCTGATTGACCACTCGGCCCAGCAGCGTGTTACTTTGAAATTGGAATCGAACCAAACGTTGCGTCTTTTGAATGCAAATGTTGACGTTCTGGATATATAGCGTGAAAGACCATGGCGGCTGAGACAGACAGACGCGCCTAAGCGCCAGCCCCAAATCAGCTAGCCGAGGAGAGCTTCAAAAATTATTCGATCAATCCAATAGCATGAACGCCAGCACCACCTAGGCCATTGAACGTTGCTTGGAGGATCCTCATATATTTCGGCAGTGATGAGCGTCTCACGGCCGGCGAGATGTCTTTTCTCCGTCTCTACGACACCGATATTTCGGCCACGCATACGATGTCGAAATTTCCACGCCTCCCCTAATGCCTGCGAACGGCGACGCCCGGGCGCGGGCCTGCGAAAACCCGCCCGCGCAGTGTTCAAGAACTACACGCAGGAGGAGAGGGCCCTGCTGGCGAAGAAGTATACGCCGGAGCAGATCGAGGCCATTGAGGCCGGAGAGGAGGCTGTCAGCCCGGAGGACCTCCACACTCGTGGTGTGATTCGGACGGACCTGGGCGGGCTGCCGTATCTCGATGACCTGAGCGAGACTCGCTCTGTGTTGGATAGGTCACAGAGGTACACGGGGCCGGTTGATGCCAATCCCAGGCTGATGACCTTCGAGGAGATGGACAAGAACTGGACGGCAGTAGAGGAGCAGTTCAAGAGGGAGAGAGACGCAGAATGGCTCATAAATCCGCCGCCAGAGGAGGAGGGGGCAGAAGCGCTCGATCCAAATGGGAATCCCTCCTCCCCTGGATCAAAGTACAGGCGGGACAACCTGAGTCGCCTGGATTACATGGTTATTGAGGATCGGCTGTCTTCGTTCACAGGCGCAAAAGGAGAGGCTATACCGAGGGAACACGAGATCGACTTCACAGCTCCAGGCATGCCCAAAAAGTTTCTCTTAGATGATGGGGTCAAGAATACTGCGAAAACAGAGGCAGAAATAGAAAACGAGGCGGACCCTCGGGATCCTGATGGCCTGTACAACCGCCTGATCAAACAAACCGGCCTCACGCTGGACGAAATCTATGAATACAAGATTAAGATCCTGGTCAGGCATCGTGTCGTCAACCAGACCCGTCTGGGCAAGATTGCGAGTATCTACTGTCTCGCCATTGCAGGAAACGGGAAGGGCATGTTGGGCATTGGAGAGGCCAAGGGGCAGGAGACGGAGGAGACGCAGCAGAATGCCCGGGTCGCTGCAATTCGCGCCATGCGGCCTATTCCTCGCTACGAGGAGCGGACGATTTTCGGAGAGGTGGACGGGAAGGTGTCTGCTGTTGAAGTGAAGCTCATGTCGCGGCCGCCAGGTATGTGTGACATTGCCCCAGCACATCTCAGACTCTTGTTGACATATATACACAGGATTTGGTCTCCGCTGCCAGCATCTCATCTTCGAAATGGCGCGCGCAGCAGGCATCCACGACCTGGCCGCCAAAGTGCCCCGCTCACGCAACAAGATGAACACAGTCAAGGCGACCTACCAAGCCATGATGAAGCAGCGCATACCTGACGAGATTGCGCGCGGCCGGGGGAAGAAGCTGGTCGATGTGCGGAAGGTGTATTATGGAGGTCATGTATAATGAAATCTGATCTGTACATTTGGAACCAACCCCCGCGGGCCCTGTTGTTGTAGGATTATGGGAGCATGGACGGCGCATAGCGAAGCATGGGGAGATGGGCAGACAACGTAGAGTTGAGTAGAGTAGAAGATCTTGCCCGAAATCCCACCCTTCTTCTGTCCTCGTTTTCCTTCTGGGTATCTCTAGTTGCAAAACGCCGCGATGCCCCCGCCCTCTCTGTCTCTCTGTATACCGTGTACGCGTCCGTCCCATCCATCCATCCATCAATTCGCAGACCGTTCCTCAACCTATCCTCCCACACCCCGACAATTCGATTCACCTCTCCTCCCACTCCTCTACATCCACATTCAACCCCAACCCCGAATCCAAATCCAGCAGCTCCTCCTCCCCCCCAGCCCTCCTCCTCAGCCCTCCTCCTGGCCGCCCTCCCCCTCCCCCTCGCCCTCCCCCGAGTAAATCTCCTGCTGCAGCACAATACTATACACGCTCGCCTTCAGCAGCGTAAACACCAGACTCGTCTTGCGCTCCAGCTGCCGCAGCCCGTCCAGAACTTCGGCCGTCGGCTGTCCGGCCATGTTGTCGAGGATGCTAGCGAGCTGGACAGAGGGGGGCCCGAGGGGGGGCGTATTGTCAGCTTGCTTGCTTGCTTGCCCTCTTATTGTTTACATATATTTGGTTTTGGTTTTGAGGGTAGGGGGCAGATGAGGGAGCAGATGAGGGGGAAGAAGGAGGCAGCTCGATGAGACGAAGGGGACGCATACACACACCTTCTTCATATTCTCCGCCAGCCGCTCGTACTCATCCAGAACGTCCTGCTCGAGCGGGGAGAGCTCCTCCTCTGCGTCTGCTGGGGGGGCCGGGGGGTGAGCCGATTCGGCGACGTCCATGATCTTTTTTTTTTTGCAAGAATTTCTTTCTTTCGGGATGTCACGAAAATAATCAATCCCTTTTTTCCTTTTTTTTTTCTTTTTTTTTTTCTTCGTTTTGGGCGTGTACGGATATGTGTGTGCGGCGTGCTTTTGGGTCGAGAAGGAAATGGGGAGAGAGAGAGAGAGAGAGAGAGAGAGAGAGAGAGAGAGTCTCTACCTGGCTTGCTGCTACTTCGTAATGCGTTTCCTTCTTTTTCTTTTTCTTCTCGCGAGAGATTAGAAAGATTCATTCGAGTTTCGGTCTACGGAAGTTTATAGGTACACACAGCGCGTGGGCGAAGGAAGGAAGCGGGGCTGTCTCACTTATTTACGCCAACTCATTCGAGTTTGGATTTTTCTTTTCCCCCAGTCGACGACGCGTCGATTCGGCGCGTAATACTGAATGAATTCTTGTTATGCGGACCCCCCACCCCCCACTACATCACTATCACAATCACCCCACACGTGACCATCATCTATCTATTCCTAAATTTTACTTCCCAGCAAATGTCTAGATGCACCCGTGCAAAATTGGAAGCGTTAGCGATTTGGGGAAAGCAGAGTAGGATTTTCATGAGGGAGAGGAGCCATTCATTAGTCAAGACAGACAGATAGACAGATGTTGAGCTACCTACCTAGATCCGTAGATACCCCTCTTGATTACCACGCCGAAGACTACTTTACACCCATCCCAAAAGCCAGAGCGAACGGGGGATACAAAAAAAAAAAAAAAAAAAAAAGATGCAAAAGTCCGAGCAAGAAAATCTCCCCTTGACTTCCTTCCCTTCCTTCCCTTATCTTGATTTCATATCTCCAGCAAAAAAAAAAAAAACAAAACACACACACACACATTTCAACTGAGCAGTTCCAGATCCTCCATGATCGTCCGATCCTCAATCATACTCCGCATAACCTCGTCCTCGCTTAGATCCGCCCAGAAGCCGACCTCCGCAGCCTGCTTCTTGCCCGCGTAAATCTCCTGCGCAACGCCCTTGACCTGGCCGAATGCCTTCCCGGCCGAGGGCCAGATCTGCCACAGGGTTTTCAGGGCCCCGGTGTTCAGGCGGAGCTGCTGCTTGAGATCGTCGTCGTGGACCAGGGGCATGAGGCAGGACCAGCACGAGAGGTGGACGATAGAGGCGAGGGTCACGACGCAGGTGAAGAAGTGGGTGTGCTTGACGAGCGGGAAGGGCAGCTGGATGAGTTTGGAGATGTCCTGCGCGGCTTGGATGGTCTTGGCGGCGTGGATGTTGTAGGAGACGCCCGGCGTGACGGCTTTGTGCGGAGCGCAGGAGGTGACATTGCGCGCGACGCTCGAGTCGAGCTCGGAGGCTTCGCGGTGGAGGAGGATTGTTGTGCTGCCGTTGGTCAGTGCTCGCTTACGGACTGGGCTTGTGTGTATGTAGACGGGTGAGCTAGAAGAGACGGGGGAACAGCTTACGCTTCGGTGATCATGTGGGCTTGGAAGAGCATCTCGTCCAGTTGGCCTTCGGGGCTGACGACTGTCTTCTTGGTATCTGGTAGGTGCAGTCTCCAGTTAACGAGATGTGCATCTACTCTATCCATGGCAGGCTCGTCGGAGGGTAAAGTTGCCTGAGACTGGAGGACTCTTCCGAGATTTCGGATAGCTGCGATTCGATACGCGAAAGAGGAGTATGAGAAATCCCTTCCATCGAAAGATTCATCATCGAAGTCTTGGATGGAGTGGGCGTGTGGTATATTCTAGAATTGTCAGTAGATAGGTTATATCCCAACGAGATACATGACTTACCCCAGATATATACTCCCTCTCCTCGCAGGGCAGGAGTACATCGGCGTCGATATCTTTCATGCGGAACGTGCTCTTTTGATGAACACCGGCAATCATGCCGTCTGTGATGTACAGTTCCCACCACGTTCGACGCCAACTCTCTTCCAGGACCTCTAGTCCGCCTCCATTCATGATCGCGAACTCGCGCTTGTTCATACCCAACTCCAGAGCGGAATTTTGAGCATCGACGAGGATCTGCAGTGCTTTCTCCTGGTAAGTATATCCATCGAGACCCACGGCAAGGATGAGCATTGCCTGGACCCTGAAGCCATCTTTCGGGCAGTCTGTTTGATAAATCGAGCGTTCTGCGTCAAGACCGAGCGCTACAGTCGGGGCTTGAGATACATAGAAGGAGCCTACATATCGCATAGCCGCTTCGAGGTAGCCTACCGGCTTCTCCTTCCTAAGCGAGAAGTAGCTGGCTCGAGGGAGGCAAAATGGATGAGCCGGGTAAAAATGGTAATAGAAGGCCTCGATACACCGTTCTCGGAGATCCAGTCCTGTCGGTTGGGCTCTCGGGTCAAAATTTACCACTTCCTGGCCGATATCAAAGAGCGGCAGGTCGACCGGCCGAGGAAGGGTCATCATTCTGTGATCAGGAGGCGTGGCTAGACCACTGGCAACATTGGGAGTGTCCCTCACGGCTTGTCCAATAGGGCGTATATGAGGACATCTTACATCGGCGGCGGCGGCGGCGGCGGCGGTGGGAACAGCAGTAGCAGCAGTCATGACTGAGGAGGCTTTGTGATGAGTGCCATTGCGTCGGGGGCCTTTGAATCCGCGGCGGCTTCGCACGTACTCACACTCGAAGCTGTTGGAGGAGCACCTCGTGCATGGCTGGAGCCCGTCGCATTTAAGGTGCTTGCTGCGACACTGCACGCATGCTGAAGCGACGGCGGCCCGCTCCTTTTCTTTTGCCGTCGTCGACTGTGACGGCGACTGCGATTGCGAATTCGGCCGGATGCTGGGTGAAGCGGATGTGATGGGTGCATGTCGCTCGGCACCAGGACGGTCAGGGCCCAATGCGTCGCCCGAACAAGGGGGGGATACTTTGGGCGGGTCCGGTTCGGCAGCAGGACAACTGATACTGAGACTGAGACTGTGGTGATTGCTGGTAGCTGGTAGTGGGCCTATATTCAAGTACGAGGCGCTCGTCGACCAAGACATGGCCTGGATGATAGGGTCTGGAGCGAGACGCGCTGTACGGTGGATAATCCAGGAGACAGGATGCAACAGGCCTCCGTTGGCGAGGTCCCCGAGCAATATATTGTATTTAATTATCTGGGTGAGTTGTATTGTCAATGCGGCTGACTGCTAGGATACTTGTTGAGCGCTTCGATTCCTCTCTTTCTATCGCGACCTCGGCTTTCGATAAAGCCACGGATCAGATCGAGTCTTTGTTGTCTTTCTTTGCGTGGTTGTTCGGGTCCAGTCGTCGTCGTCTATGTAGATGCCACACCCAATCTATTTATGATTGCGAGCGTCCTGGACGCTTATTCCATTATCTGATCTTGCCATATATGTACAGCTGAGCTGCTGCTATGGGGAGGACCGTGTCTCTTGGTGCTACCAGCAATGGGCGCACCAAAGGCAGATCGTCTTATTCCGCACCATCTCATCTGATGCATTACTTATTAGTCCGATCTTACTGGAAAATCGAATAAGCTCATAGGATTCCAGTCAATGCTCAGAGATCGAATAGCCATAAGCGAACATGTACCGGTATCCATTCCAGTAGAGAGTCGAGACGTCCTTTTCTTATTTTTATTTTCTTCTACTTGCCATGATGTTTTCCAAGTGACCATTAGAGATTACTCGTCCGTGGCCAGGCAGGCCGTCCCGACGTAACGAGCATTTCCTGAGGCATTGCAAGTGGAGAACATAGACTTGGGAAAGCTGTACGACTCCAAGTCTGTAAGTAAACAAGAAGTTGGTAAGGATCGGCAACCCACCGTGGGGGGAACAGGGTGGCGCCCCCAGTGTACATATGAAACTCAATAACTCCAAGGATTACCACGTAGAATTAACGAGAGGCATGCATAGCCATAAGTACTGTACAAGTACAGCTAAAGCCTGTCGTGCGTCCAGAAAGCTCATCACGCAGAAGCTACCTGAGTACAAGTGATGTATTTACAGTAGCTGCTTGGTTTCATGCAGTGTCAGTTGCGAAGCACTAAAGCTACTTCGGAGTCTTTATCCCACAGAATGTGGCGTTCGGGCCTTCTTAAGGTTATTGATATTTAAGCGAGCATCTACTGTATCCCGCTGTTGACCTTGAAGATACTACGTACTACGTACTTAGGCCTGTACCGTGGTAGTATGTAATAGCTCTGAAACCTCCTTTAATCAATACGAAAGCGACTAGTCTATTACGACTAACGTAAAATACCACGGTACAGGCGTAAGTATTACCCCTCGAGTGTGCCTCAAAAGTTTAGTTCCCACTATAAACCCCCTGGTTACCCTACCCTCAAGGGGTAATACTTTCGCCTGGGACGTAGTAGAAACACGTTAAAAGTTTATGTTATTTATAAGTTTACCAAAATATATTTAACTGTCGTCCAAATCCGCTTGAGACAAATATCCGTCGTACATTTTTTATTTTTTATTCTTAGCATCTATTCATCAAGAGAACTGGTTTCCCTTCAACTTATCGAATATGATGTTTATCAACAATATCGTCGCCGCAGCTATCTTAGCAGCTTCTGCCGTAACTGCAAGGAATATTACGCTTTGCGAAGATCCTGATTTTAAAACATGCCATTATCCCGATGCACCAGTTAATTATTGCAGTTAGACACACCTCTTTTCGACTCTTTTTTTTTTTTTAAAAAAAATCGATTTCCTTTGAAAGAAAGCTAACAAGCTTGAAGTTTATACTCCTCTTATTTCGGATACAACTAGCTCTTTAGATACCGGAGGTGCAACATGCGAGTTCTTCGTGTAAGCATTCAATCTAATCTTTAACAACTTGAATTTTTCTAAATAGCTGATCTTAAATATCTAGTGATTTTGGTTGCTTTCCAAAGTCCGAATCTTTTAATTATACCGGCCAGATTAAGGAATTCGGGCTTCAGCCCGGACTTGAGCACTTCGACAACACGATCTCCTCTTTCAAATGCCGATAGAAAGCTATTCTCTATTGCATATAGCTTTGGCAAAATGAAGTAGTTGCAGAGACGTTAAGCGAGAGAAGCATTGTTATGCATTTCACTCTTTCTGCTTAAGTATTATATAGCTAGCTACGTACGCTATCAAAACAAATGAAACTTCCATACTTCGTACAAGTCCAAAGCCGAGCCTTCCTATATAATAAAAATATTTAAAAGCCTTTAAAGAGTAAATACTACTACGTCCCAGGCGTAAGTATTACCCCTCGAGAGTGCCTTAGAAGTTTAGTTTCCACTTTAAACCCCCTGGTTTCCCTATCCTCGAGGGGTAATACTTAGGCCTGTACCGTGGTAAGTTGATCCTTCAGTTTGTGGTTTACTGGAGAGGGAAGTTTGCACAGGTCTCGTCTCACAATCGTGGTAGTTGCAATTGATGAAGTTGACGCGTTCTATAATCTGATCGATGCTGGGACCAGGGGTGTGAGCAGTATAGGGACTCGTGAGGGATGCGGTCAGAAGGATTTCTATGGGTGAGTGAAGGTGTGGGGAGTTCGAGCAAGCTACGAAGTGAAAGATGATACCCATCAACCATAACAGTCGGTAGATTATCCTGCATGTATAACAACCTACCCTGCGTTCCGGAATCGAAATTCAAGATTTGCCCGGTGATGTTTCCTCTCCAGTTCTCGCTTACAAAAAACAGTATACTCTTTGCGAGACTTGCTGGAGCAACTGGGTTCTTCAGTGCAGTTCTATATCCTGTCGGCATGAGCAACTAGAAGCATACTCTTTTCCCGCACGTCGCCTGAGCAACCTGCCAAAGATGACTCGGGTTCTCTACGCATCCCTTTTGAAATTGAGAGCATCCACGACCACTTGCTACATTACTTACCTAGCCCCGGGTCAGATCCTGTTCGCGTCGTCCGTCAAGATCTTTACCAAAGCGGCATGGATGGCACTCTTTTCCACAGAGTAATACGCGTTGCCCTAGAATAACCACACTCACTTCCCACGATCACCACCCCGACGTTCCGCGGTTTCCTCTCGATATCCACTTTGACATGCTCCCTCAGCTGCCTCAGCTACGTCCTTGCAATCAAGAAAGTACCCTCGTCGTCAATACAGTGTGTTCTCCTCCATTGCTCGCCCTCCATGTCCGCGAGACTTTCATAGCGTGGTAGGAGGGACTAGTCGAGGGAGGCGAGTGTAATACCGGTACAGCAAGGTATGTGTCCGAATGACTCGGCTGCGAGGGCGGAAGTATTGGTGAGAGTTCCTTCGGAAGATATACCGCAGGGAAAGAATTGGTATTTTTCATAGGTGTAGAATTCGGAGGAGGGACGGAGGAGGGCGTTCGTCACGTTGGCACGGGCAGGTAGTAGTAGTAGCTATGACTTTGGATGGGCCTATGCACAGCCCCCGACCCGCGAGTAAGTAATAAGAACGTGGGTATGTTCAAGGTTGAGCGAGAGATCCATGGGTACCGGTACTGTAGCTGTTGGTTGTCGAGAGGAAGTATGAAAGTATAGTCTGAGAGAATGGCCCAGACAGAAGAGAAGGGCTACTAGTTGTAGTTGTATGTGGAGATGTCGATACCGTATGAGAAATGCGAACGCCGGCCGGTAAGTAAGCCGATAGATACGAGGAAGATGCCCGGAGCCCGGACATGGATCATTGTTGTCGCCGAGATCCATTATTTTCCACACGTGATTCGGCCCGGGGCGTCTCCTCGCGTCTGTGCAAGGTCGCCGAAAGGAAATGCTTCAAAGTAACCGCCATCCGCCAACCGATTTCGTGGAAATCGTGGTACGATGCCGCACCGCGACTTCTTAGTACAACACCGACACCCAGTTTCAGATTCGATCATTCGACCATCCGATCGTTCAATCATTTGATCGTGCCCTCTGCCGAAAATAATAAATATTCTTGTATTTCATCTGATCACGCTTGAACATCTGCCGGCCGGTACGGGATCTGGATTGTACTTTAGGTTTCGATAGGATTAGTCATCATTTCCGACCGAGGATACCTTTTCTAGCCTTCTGAACGGCTTTCGTAGGCTGTTTTAGATAGGTACTACTGTACTACAACTAGGTCTAACTAACCTTTTTTAAGTGGGTCAATGTGGATCCATGGGTCTTTTATTTTTAAATTGACGACGGGGGAGCCCGAGACAGCTGGATACGAAGATACTACGTAGTTGTAGATATGGACGTGGATCGCGTTCTTCTGTTGTTTGTTTGAAGTCAATTATTTTCCTCTCATTCGCTTCGTTGCCTTGACTTTGGGCTTTGTCTGTCCCTCACCGGTCGTACTTGGTCCAGACCGTTGGGGCTGTATTCGTACCACGACGTTGAACACATACGGTTATGGTACAACACGGCAGCTACCAACTCTGATTACTATGACGCCCTATTTTTGACCATCCATTTCAGTCTCTATCGTCGATTAGATTGACGAGCGAGCAGAATATCACAGTTCTGCAATGCTATTACTTCGTAGTATTGCTTGCTTGTTATGAGTGCTTACCTACCAACAAGATATCCTTTGATTGGCATAGAAGGTCGGCGACCAAACCCTAGTCAGTGGGCATACCTCCCCTAGGTTTGGGCATCCTTTCTTGGTAGAAGTGTAGTAAGAGAGGACTTGAAACTCTGAGGCAAAAAAAAAGGACGCCTCTAATAGGTAGAATAAGTCGCTGTAATCGGCATTTAGTTTGTATCGGGGACCAAGTCAAAGCTTAATTCATTGTCTTGTATCGTGTTGTATTGTAAGCGGGTAGGGTAAGCAAGAATGAGCGGAAGATTGCAGCATTGGGCTTTGAGGCAGCCATCCTTATACTTATATCTGGGAGTACATCCCACTTACAATAACAACATCAGACTTCTCTCAGCCTCACCATCGAGCTACCGTCTGCGTCTGATATCCTCTATTTAATCGGCGCAGTCACACAGGTCACAGATACATTAAAGGGTGAAAGGAAAGGAAGGTACTAACTGGTTGGCAACTGTGCCACTACCACTGCAACTGCAACTGCCACTGCCGCCGTCACTGCCACCGTCGTCGCCGCCGCCGCCGCATACTCAAAATTCCTTGAACGTTCCTGCCACCTCTGTCCGGATATCTACCTAGGCTTAGACCGCATCCGGACTAGTGTGTTATCTGTCGGCGGTCAAGGTGAATTCATTTCTTCTCCCTTCTCCTTGACCTATTCGGCCTTCATCTTCCATTCTCCTCATCCTCTTCAACCTCCTTATCCTCCTCAACCTCCTCATCCCCCTCTCCCTCCTCAGCCTTAAGCTCAACCTCACTATCCTCGTTGTCCTTCTCTCTAATCATCCCTTGGTTTCTTCCCAGCTGCACACACGGGTACAGGTACAGCTGCAACTACCTAGCTCTACGACCTTTCGGTCCCCAACCTGAGACACTATGAACTCCGACACGATGCCACCCACGTCAGGTGTCCCAGCTTCCGAGGTGGACCTAATACGGAAGGAGAGTGAGAGTGGCCCCTTTCCTGACCAGCTCGACGATGATATCGAGCGCTCGGGCGGAAATGACGATGCCCATATCCTGAATACGACGGTCACGAGCTTCGTCTGGCGCGAGATCACGGTTACGGTGAAGGACACCAAGACCGGAGAGCCCAAGGCTATTCTTGATAAAATCGAAGGCGTTGTCCGAGCTGGTGCGTCCATTATACAGTCTGCCATACTACGCAGTGGAGATCCTGACTGAGCTGCAGGAGAGGTATGCGCCCTAATGGGTCCGAGTGGGTAAGTAGCAAGCAAGAATGCCCATCATACACTTCTCTATAAAGCCTTGAGAACCCCCCAAGACTATCATGAAGACGCAGTCGCTGACTTCCCGGCTCATCAAGATCTGGAAAAAGCACACTTCTAAACGTCCTCGCTCATCGAGAGGCATCGTCTGGAGCACGAGTGGAGGGAGTCACTCTGGTCAATGGAGCCAGCCCGTCGACCACCGCATTCCGACGATTAAGCTGCTATGTCGAACAAGAAGATGCCCTCATTGGATCCTTGACAGTCCGAGAGACTTTACATTTCGCAGCCCGCCTCGCTCATAAGAAGTAAGATCTTTGTTGAGCTGTTATGGATCCCACCAGACTGACACTTGCCAAGCTCCCTTACCAAGACTGAACGAATCAAGCGGATTGATGCCTTGATCGAGTCTTTCGGCCTGCGCCACCAACAACACACCTTGATAGGAACACCGATTCGGAAAGGTATCTCTGGGGGCCAAAAGCGTCGCCTGTCCGTCGCGGCGCAGCTCATCACCGCACCCAAGATCTTGTTTCTGGACGAGCCAACAAGTGGTCTTGACTCCGCTGCCAGCTTCGAAGTCATATCATACATCAAGAATGTGGCGAAGAGAAATAACGTAGGTCGTTACTCGAGATGGGATCTGTAATAGGCAGCAGAACTAACAGCCTGCACAGTTGATTGTCATTGCTAGCATTCATCAGCCGTCAACAAAAACCTTCGAGACGTTTGACAAACTGCTTCTCCTATCCGGTGGCAAGCCTTTCTACTTTGGTTCAGTCGAGGGTGTCGAGCCTCACTTCCATTCTTTAGGTCGCTCGATTCCAACCCGTACCAACCCTGCGGAGTTCCTCCTTGACATGATGAATGTAGACTTTGCGAGTGACCAGGATTCAGCTCAAGAAAAGCTCCTCCAGGTGCAATATGAGTGGACCATATCACCAAAGGCTCGCGACGTTGCAGCCCAAATCCAAGCCATTTCAAGCCTCGAACAGTCGCCTACTTCGCCAGGATCGTCGAGCAAGAGCTTCCACACGATTGTCATGACATTGGTCCATCGTGCTTTCATTAAGAGCTACAGAGATGTAGTAGCCTACGGCATTCGCATTGCCATGTACGCTGGTCTCGCCATTATGATGGGTACAGTCTGGCTTCGACTCGAAGAGGAGCAGGACGACATCCAGCCTTTCATCAATGCGATAGTAAGTCCTCGGCCAACCTCATGACATGACCTTATTCTGATCTTGTGTAGTTCTTTGGCTGTGCCTTCATGTCTTTCATGGCCGTGGCTTACGTCCCCAGCTTTCTCGAGGACCGCCTGACTTTCAAGAAGGAGCGGGAGAATGGTCTCTATGGTCCGGCGGCGTTCATGCTCTCTAACTTCATCATCGGTCTGCCTTACCTCTGTACGTTATCCAGGTCTTCAACTTGTGTAACCCGACTAACAAACTAATAAAGTCTTGATTTCGGTACTCTTCTCAGTCATCGCATACTGGCTTTCGGGTTTCCATTCAACCGCCGAGGCTTTTTTCATGTGGATCATGTGGCTCTTCCTTGACCTAGTCGCCGCCGAATCCCTCGTCGTCCTGGTATCTACGATTGCTCCTGTCTTCGTGATCTCCTTGGCTGTGACCGCCTTTGCCAATGGCTTGTGGATGTCTGTCGGTGGATTCCTAGTCCCGCCAAAGACACTGAATGCGTTCTGGAAATATGTCTTCCATTACATCGACTACCAGGTAAGTTAACAACATTTAGTTTCAGTGTGACGGGCAGCTGACGATTCCAGACGTACGTCTTTCAGGGAATGATGGTCAACGAATTCAAGGATCGCTCCTACAGCTGTGGCGATGGTTGCTATTGTATGTATCAGACCGAGCTCGCATCCGAGTGTCGTATTTCTGGAACGGGTGTCTTGGACCAGTATGGCTACAAGACTGGCCGAACCGGAAGGTGGGTGGGTATTCTTCTAGCCATCATCCTCGGATATAGGGTCTTGGGCTTATTGGCGATGTACATTCGCAAGTAAGGCTCAAGCACTTTCCGGATTGTTGATGGGCTATGGAAGCATTCTTGAGAGGGGTCATGATAACTGCCTGGTGAAAATGGGGTGTTGGTGTTTGCTGGGTCTATTGCTTCACAGACATTTGGCGAAGTGAGTGTAAAATGGCTGGCTGGAGGTTTCGGGAGCATATTAGGGGAGTTTAATGGTGGGTGCCAAGGCGATTGCTGAGCCTTACGTTACCTAGATCTTCTTGATAGTGGGCCGAGGATATGGTACAGCATCAACTTGCTGCAAGATGTTGTTGTAAGATTAATGTGCAGAACTTTTGAACGATATTTTGCATCCATGGTCGGCTGAATACTTTTGCTCGCGAAACCGAACGGCGGATGGAAGATTTGTAGAGAGAACGAAGACGTGGCGTGCCGTATCCGGAGCCGTATTTCGAGTTCAGATAAGGATGATGGCCTGAAGTTCTTGCACGCCCAGAAGACGTTGCTGCCCGCCCGCCAATGGTATCTCTGCCAGACCTGATTCTCGGCGAGGACGAGAAGGATGGCCTATTCGATTCGACTCGACTCGACTCAAATCGACTCGACTGGATCGTAGACGTCGACGTAGACTGACTGCTAACACTGTTCCTTGTTAGCCCTGACACGAGAATTGAAATTGAATCTCTCTACCGGAAATCACCCGTCACATTGTTATCCTTTTTTTTTTTT